GAGGCGATTTGTAAAAATACCACTACCCCCGGAAGTCGAGGGGTCGGGGAACGGGCACGGCGCACCTCACCCTCTCGTCTTCCCATGTTGGGAAAGGAGTATCCTACTCGTAGTCGACTTCCTTTGAATCCTCGAAGAGGAAATTCGTCACCCGGTGCGGGTGCGGTCTATGGCGCTCGGTTGCTGAGAAGTTGGGATGTGCTTCCCGTGAAGCCGCGGACGTACTGTATGGAGATGAACCCAGTGCAGAGGACAATGAGGGGCTCTGCTCGCGGGCGCCCTCGGGACCAGCTAGCCTCGGTGTTTTTCGTGTCATAGACACAAGGCTCATTGAGCGGAGGATGTTCATAGACTATCGTAAGGACGTAACGGTGTCTTAGACATGCGAGCATTGTATGAGGCGACAGTTGAATGTGAATTGTGGGTATTCACTTTTTGATGGGGGAGAGTGTAACGGAGTTACACGTGCCCTTGTATGAAAGGGCGGGCTGCATAAGATTGTGCGGTCGTACATAGGTGTATGTCACACAAGACAAGTTCGTGCAATCACACAGTAGTGTGGCTACACCGTAAGAAGAAGTCACTATATTGTAAGACTGCCAGTAGTATTGCATATCAATAAGGTTTTACTATATTGATTAGGTATTTCTATGGCAGAGCCGCAACCACGACAATCAAATTTTAATTTTGATCGGAAGAGTTCGTTAAGGTTTTGGGCACTCTTGGAGGTAGCGGATTGCAATTCGCTACACTAGTTCGGTGACCTTTGTAAGCTTTCTCTAAGCAATGAGCTACAGCAGCTCCGCTGCAATAAGACAAACCTCGTTCTGTTTCACATCAGTCGAGATTATCTTGAGCGGCCTTTCTTGCAATCTCTTTTTGACTAATCGATCTAGGAGCGAACTTGCTATTTTCCATTGAATGACATCCATATAAAAATCAATCCGTGCTGATCATGATATTCAATATTTCGGGGTATAGAATTGATGTATATACACAATGAAATGTAACCCTTCATATTCCTCGGTTTACAAAATGGCGCAACCGAAAGCGGCAGGGACTGAGTCCGCGTCCACGGCGCCTTCTGCAATACTAGCGACTTCTACGTCATCAAATGTTGCTACTTATGGACCCCGAAAGCCGTTACAGCATATTTTGTCAGAAAAATCCTACGTTTTCCAGCACGATTCGCACAATGTATCCGCCCAACCTCCCTCAACCACAACCGATTCGTCAGAAGCCAATATTGACGCTAATATAGGCGTAAATCTCTTAGAAAAGACTATTCATTCAAACACTAAACCAAATTCATTGGACAAAGTGACTCAAGATCAAGAGGAGGTGCGTGCGCTGCAGTTTACATTGGCCCAACAGCAAATGCAACAGTACGAGACGATCACCAAGCAACTCGAAGCTCAGTCAGGGATTGTTTTGACGCCAGTGAGTACTATGAGTGATATTACTAGTAATAACACAAGTGTAGCAGGAATGGCGAAAACGTCCGAAGCTTTGCAGAAACGCAGACAAGAGCAATTGGCAAAGTTGCAGCAAAATGTTCAGCACCAAGCAGCCATGGTGGCACAGGTGGTGCAGAATCGATCTGATGAAAAGTGGCTTCGTAGCAAATTGTTGCTGGAGCAAGAAAATCTTCGACTATTAAGATTTTATGACCAGCAGCTTCAGCAACAAACTAATAAGGGGAATTTAGGGGGGACGACCACAGCGACATCCACTGCCGACAATTTTCTAGTACAACAGCAACAAGTTATTCGCCAGCAGCAATTGCTTCAGAATATGCTTCAAAAACAGCGAAATCAACAAAACATGCAGCTTCAACTCAAAATTAGGTTGCAGAAAAGCGTAAACGACAAGACTTGTTTGTCATCTACACCGTCAAAGCCTTCGCTAACGATGAAAAAAGCAATTCACTCATCCACACCAACATATTATTCGATTAAGAAGAGAAAGCTCAGATCGGCATTTGAGATGGACTTGGAGTCATTAGCCAAAATCTGTATCCGAGTGGCCAACGCGAGAACTGATTGCGAGATGCGGCAGGCGCTTGACAAGATGACGACGTGGCTACATCATTGTACTGAACTAATGCTTCTTCAGATTGCTAAGCGAGATTATCGCGACTCGTTGGCGCGTCGTCGACCGGTGCTTATTCAGCAAAATCGGTGGCCGATGGATCTTCAAGCAAAGTCGGAATTGATTACGCAAAAGATTGAGCGAATGTTGGAAGAAACCCTGCTTCGAGAAAAGAAAAAAGTGGCTCAACAAGAAGCTGCAGCGAAAGTGGTCGTTAGTACCTCAGTAGCAACTACTGCGGCTAGTTTGTCATCCTCTGCGTCTTTTCAGACTCAGCATGAAAGTGTGAGTGTTGCAGCAAATCCTGTTCCTGCGTCTGTAGCATCGCCACCGTCATCTACTGTGCTGTCACCAGCCGTTCAAATTCTTGATCAACGAGATATAGCAGCAGTCGAACGCGAGTACGCGGAATTGAAAGCTCAATTACAAGCCCGACAATTCGAGGTGAATCAGAAAGCCAAGGCAAAACGTGATGCAGCAAAGCTGGAAGCGTTCAAAGCAGCGGACACTACAATTACAAGTGCTGTACAGAACGAGTCTCACAAGCGTCCATTGCAGCTCGTGGCTTTTGATACCATAAAAAAAACACATACGAATCCGACCGGAACGATATCGACAGCTAGTATCAATATGTATCGACCACCCCCGACAACAGTAATACCAATTTCACCTCGTGTTGCTCAGCAGTTTTATGACCTCGATCTCGTTACTCGTGCCAGCACTGAGAATGACGACAAAATGTATCTTCCATCCAAAGCTGTGTTAAAAATCATGCAAAGAGCACTGCAGGGTGATCACGAAGCGATTATCGCTACTACTGGCACAACTTTTTCTCCTACTCCTAATGTCGAGGATCATGAACAAAATCACGATTATTCGATCCACGTTAGTGAAGATGCTGTTACGTTCATGCAAGAGTGTGTGACCGAATTTCTTTTGTACTTTACAAGTGAAGCGCGTGATCTCTCGCTTTTGCAAAATCGAAGAACGAAAAAGGGTATGGGGTTATCAATTTCAGGAGCTAATGTTGTGGAGGGAATGGATAATCTGGGCTTCACGTCGTATGCTCGAGTTTTATCCTTGTACAATGAAAAAGTTAAGGCATGCCAAGATGCTGTGGCAAGAAAAAAGTTAGAACGCAAAAAATTAATCCAACAACAGGCTTTTGAAAAAGCTGCGGCTGCTTCTAAGGCAGCGAAAGCGGTGTCTGCTCATATGTTTACAAGTGAGAAATCAAATCTTGGCACTGTTTTGTCTGGAGTGGAAGAGAATGGCGTGAAAGTCTCGTCAGTAAATCGAAATTTCACGATAGCGAGACTCACATCGGAGTCGAATAATACATCAGATCCAACATATCGGTGATAGCTGAAGTTTAGAAACAAGGATCTGACGCTTGGTAAAAATCAATTTGAACATTTACCCTCTTGACCATTTTTGATACAAAAATGAAGTATATAAGCGTGGACCACATCACAGAGAATTAGTGCTACGTTTAGCATGACTCATGAAAATGCATCGCCTGATACTTTCGTCTTCAAAGGGTAAATGCAATATGTGGTGGTATGCTTTAATGCTGAGCCATTGCAGACTATATGCGAGTTCATTTTGATAGCAGCTTCAATATGATTTGTATCGAACTGCAAGTGTTACAAAGTTATCAGCTTCTTTTTTAATAAGAAAATTGTTCCGACATCACAAATTTGTCATTAAAGGGAACTAATCAGTGCGGTGAAATTTAATGTTGAGTGTTAGTCTATTGAAAACAGATATTCTCAGTCATAGTTTAAATTTCCGTCTCGTTTGTTCTTACAGTACATGATTTCTTACAGTAATATATTCATAGCAGCGAAATTTTGTGGGTGAAATAATCAAGGCGAACCCTAATAAAAACAGGAAAACAGACAGTGCAATAATTACTTTGCTGTACACTCTGCTGAAATGCCGTGGGCCCTACTCCTATGCAGTAGAAACGTGATAACGGGGTGTGTACCGTAGTATGGTGTATGTACACAAAACATTTTTGTCTAATTGTGATTAATTTAGAGGTGCCTAAATACTGAATCTTTAATGGACGACGTTACTGAGGTTGGAGAGGTCTGAGCAACATGTCAGCTATTAGTCTCACTTCATGAATTACGTATAACTTTACTTTGAACACAGTGAAACAGATAAATTTTGTAACGTAGTTACACGTGCCCTGGTATGACAGGTGTGGGTACCACAATATAGTGTAGCCACACAACGGTGTGGTTACATTTAAGCAAAAGTTATTACGTGGCTGGACTGCCAGCAGTTATACATTTAATTGGTTTTAGACGTAAAATTAATCCGCCTTTACGTTAGTGAATGCGATCCGCTACAATCTTACTGGTTTTAAGCATAGAACGAAGGTCACCGACCTTAACCAAGCTTCCTCTTAGCGAAAGAGCTACGGCAGCCCCGCTGCAGATTTGGTACTATTAAAATGAGACTTAGCGAAAATAATGTACATATCTTGTAATGAAATAAAAGCAAAGATGACACTAAGTAACTTTAGAGGCGCTAGGCTTTGCTCCTGGGTGTAGCGTACAACTCTTAGTTCTGTACATTGAATACTTTTTAAGTCAAGGCAGTCCCTGTAGAAGGTGCACGGCAATACCGGTGCACTTGATAGCACTTCATGAGTTGATTCAACCCTCTGTGATGAAATAATTCGAGTTGTTGTGGATTATCTGTCCTCGACTCAACCAAACACGCGTGAAAGCTTATTCCGTGGTTGGTCGCGAGGCGTTGGCGCATAGCAGCCCAAGGCTGGAAGTGCATAGCAGCCCAAGGCTGGAAGTGGCGATGGAGTTCCTGAGGTACTTGTCAACTATGAAAATACATCGGTCAAGATAGGCCGCTATCGGTCATCAGTGAAACCACAACTAGCTTTCACCGTGAACCAGCTGATGTAAAATATTTAGCTCCTTGAGAGTAGATTTGCAATATATATCCGAGTGAAAGAAGCTGGCACAGACATGAAGTCGGCTGGACTTCAGTAAACGATATAGCGAGTCGCGTCAGCACTCTTTAAGTCAGGAGGACGCGCGCGAAAGTGAACACTTGTGCGTAGGTATTACTTTTCAATATGAAAAGTACCCAGGCGACGAATGGCACACCACCATTCCAGGTATACCGTGTGAGGTTAAAAAAATTGTCTGACGGCTAAGATTAGCAAGCAGGAACAAATTGTTGCAAGCTCCCAACGATGCGGAGAAGGCAGACCATCTTGCAAAGGTGGAGACAATTGTCATTCTCATGTAAGGTTGAGAAATGGCATCGAGACCTTCCGCGTCCACCAGCCTTGCTTGCGGGAGCGATTGGCGCTACGTTATATGTGGAGTACAGTTTTCATGCTGCTAAATTTGATTAGATTCCGACAGGTGGAGCTCCAAGGGCGTACCAGAGGTGATGATGTCCGCCATGCTGAAGAAAAGAGAGATTTCTAATCTACAAGGAAGTACCGAGATTCTCGCAGATGTTATATCGAGAGAATACCTAGCATATGTGCCCAACGTGCCCCTTCTCTCTCTGTTGAAAGGGACAAGTCATCCGACAACCCCTTTGCGGTTGACGTCGAGTCTTGATATGCACATTGGGCCTATTGGGTAAAAATGGACTCTTTCATACCTCGTGGCGATCGACTTCAATACGATCCAGTCCTAAAAGAAGCGACGTTTTCATGATAGGTGCTGATCACGACCCAGGATTGTTGACTGTTATCGTCAACGAAGCGTGCTTTGTGCTGCCATTAAAGTTTATGATATATTTAGATGAGCCGTTTAACTAGGTTGATTCACGCGCAGAAACATTGTTGATGCCAAATACGAACACCATGTCCTTGCGACGGACTCAAGTAGAATTCTTTTTTAACCTCACTGTAGAATTTGAGAATCTAACAGCGTGAACATGTGTCTTGATTTTGATCTGAATATACGATCTCTACCTGGGCTTGAATACAATGGCACGTGGGTCGACTTAAGGTCAAAAGCGTAAGGCGCCACGCACGTTTTTTGAAATGGAGCTCTAGAAACCATGATCCCATTTTGATTAGGGAGCAGAAATGCTTTTCGCGCAAACTTGTGACTAAAATAGCTTAGTGCAAGGCATATGGCTCGTTGAGTCGATAAGCAACGATGTTACTAATTGTCTCAAACTAAGACCGGAAGGTGCGGTCTCCGGGGTAAATCAATGAAATGCGGAAATGAAACGATGATATGGTTTGGTGTCTCGAGTGTTGACGTATCATTACAGCTGATAGCTGATTTTCAGAGATAGATTGAAGCGATTGTGTCCCGCGGTCTCGCAGGTTTGTTCCCGTGGAGACGAGTTAGAGCAGCTTAGTGCCACGATTTTCAGGCCAAGACCGGCGGCTATAAATCGCGAGAAGAAGGGATTGATTTAAATTAACTTTATATCAAGAATGTCCATAATTGTCAGGGTATAATGGTATCGCAGAGTAAACCACCTTGTGTGACATTCCAACCATGTGAAGCAAAGACCATCCAAGGCTTTGCGGTGGAAAAACAATCCACTAGATATTGGGGTGATCGGGTTTGTTTTTGAAGATTAGAGTCCACGTTAACTACCTCAGGCATAGAGGCGTGCTACACTTGATATATTTGAAATGCTTAACAATTTAAAACCCACTTGTTCTCAGGAAATGTATGAAAATTATTTGCCATAAAGTGAGATCACCGATTATACCTACAACAGGCGTTGTTGCACCTCGCGCAATGAAAGCTTTGACTCTACGAGTTCACCAACAGTCACATTAATATGTAACCCAGGCGAGAATAGAGAGCCTCTTAACCAAGTGACACTTCCTTCGCTCGAGTTTCAGAAAAGATACGTTTTGAGTTATACCTTGCTAAATATGGCATTCAACGCATAAGATCACTATCTAAAGCTCGATGTAATGTATAGCGGGTGACTAGCAGCCCACGGGCCTCACTTTGGTCTGCTTGAGCTTATATTAGATCCGAGGAGCAATAGGGTAATGCAGGACTGAAGAGAGTTGGAAAGGGCCGGTTTGAAAAAATTCCGATCGATATATGGATTGACACCAATCATAATAGTGGTAAAGTTGTAAATGTGTTAAATATACGATACTATGACTCAATCTCATATTGATGTTTTTGGATGAACGAATGTTTCGTTCAAGCTTTCTCGACACAGATGAGCGTTACTCTCCCGTTCTCCATCCCATTGCGAGGGAATTGTTTTCAACATATAAGAAACTTGGAATGTGAAGGCATATGGTCCTGCAAACGATCACAGAGTTTTCAAACTTCATTTCAACATAATGTATCTGCCATCGAATTTTGGTGCATCGTTGCAACTTTGCGATATTGATGGATCGTTTCGATATGCATATACAGAGGGACACACCGTTTAAAGTATTCTTTCAATTTCAACATTCTGTTCTCACATCAAATGTTTAGTGTTTGAGAGACTCGCTAGTTAAGTTGACATGTTGGATGAAGGCGGAGAGTGACGGGCTAAGATTACGACGGTATTATGTATTGTTAGCGTTACAATGAACGTTTGTTAGACGTCTCCACTACAATCGATCTGTCAGTTTTCCCATGAAGTCATCCCAGCAAACATTTTGTCATCTCTGGGTGCTTCATTCCTCTCCTTTACATTAATAGCAGTTTTATTATCGTAAGCGTCTTGTAATCATTGACCACCTGAGAAGACGGAGGGGCCACCAAATCATCTATTGAAAATGGCGTAGAGCCTGCAGAAGGTGCACTGCGGTATAAAGTTTAATGAATGGGATCTTTTTATCCAACATCACCACGGGCGTTTTGCGCGAGCGGTTCAAAACATCCCTCACCGTGTGATCTTCGCTTCGACTTTCCTGAAATGGTCTGTAGTGGGCATACAAAAACTGGACATCTCATCAAAACACTTTTCGGAAAAACGGTTCCGTAGGAAGTGTGGTCATTTGTAATTACTGATCTTTGCAGAACAAAAACGTTTTAAGAAACTAAATCTTCGTGACCATGATCAAAACGCGCAAACGAAATTCGTAGGCACTTGACAAAGCCAAATTCCCGTCTCTATGTAGGAGCAAAACCCGGCACTGTGCGGTAGTCATTGTGGACTGTCTGGTGACAGCTTTTTTTATGCAAAGAGCACAGCGATCTCTTCAATACTATAAGCGTATGAGTCTATCAGTTTGGAGCCTTAGAAGAGAAAGGTGGCCATCCTCCGCACGTTAGCTTGATAGTCAAAACAGCGACCCCGCTGCACTTGGTCGGCCATTTCATCGCATTCTATACACCCCACTTCGAGTTGCGCACTTCATACTTGTTCCTACAGCTACAAGTAGTTCTGATTCGATACTAAAAATTTGGACCCGACCCATCAAGTAGGCTTACCGGGCTGCAAGTGCATAAACTAAAGTGACCTTCGATGAAATCACTACAGACCAATTAAGGCTGTGTTTGTGAGTTCGGTCGGAAGTCGCACACCGCGTCACTGGGAATATTTCTAACCCATTCGTTTGTTCAATCGGAAAGAAAAATAAGCGCTCATAAACGCAACAAGAGCGCTACTTTTCCTGCCGGCACCAACCTTTCCGGATCCTACCATTTCGTTGGGTAGTTTATAATTTTTAATGAAGATCGTCACATTGCTACAAAACTCTGGCAAATGTTCCGACACATACATGACTCAAATCGAGTACTGTGTAATAAAATCAATTGTTTCACAGCTTCACCAACCGGCTACAGCGAATTAGATCGATGAAGTACCATTTTTATGTCGCCAAGTCCAAAGTATGACATCGACTTTGAGGTGGGCGCTCGCCGCCTTCGATTCGTACTGTTGACAGCCCTACCCAGGCCCTAGTACAGCTACTAGTCAAGTCAGAGGCTGAGAATGTGGCCAGATCAGACTTGCTAATTGGATGCGCCGTGCGCTGCTCTCCTAAGACGTAAAGATGCAGAATGCGCCAAGTTGAACTCGACAACGATGCCTGGACAATCGCATCAAAGTGGACTTTGAATATTTTATGAGCTCTCCAAGTTAAAGTATCCCTCCTGCTTTACCTGATACTGGTTATAGCTCTTGTGAACACGCTGACACGCTATCCTTCCATACTAAATTGATCCACGCCTCGCTCATCCTTGAAAACTGGCAAGAATGATCCCCCGCCACCGACCAAGGCGAAGCTCCCGTAGGTGTGCGGCCGATACTAACATGAGGTTCATCTTTCAGATGAGATCGCTTAGCCGTACAGCCAAACCAATTGGCATGATATGCCCCAAGCTTTCTCAAATCGGACCACTGCTCTACACCAGAGGACAGCTCAGCTACAAGGGATATTAAAGACGCTCAACAGATCACCTCGCATACGTTCCTCGCATGTTTTTTAACATGAAGTCCCCTCTTTTTCATTACTATTTTGAGAATTTGGGCTTCTAGTCAATTCCACCTTCGTGCGCTCCATTCAGAAGAGGCTCTAAAAAAACTTACTACTAAGTTTGGTCTACTGCATTGTACAATTGCACAAAAGTGAAACTTTTTCTCCAGTCACTGATGCTTCCATCGTGCTATGTTTTACTGAACCATTGCCGGCACTATCATCAGCAGTCTGTCTTTGATGTTATTTGTCTCATCGTCTCGATATCATACTGATTCGATCGAAATTCAGCCAATGAAAACAATCCACTGTAGTAACGTATTTATCTAATATGACAACGAAAAGTACCAACATCTGTCAAAAACGAAATAGTAATAAGTACAGTGATGTTACATGACCCCAAATTCTCTCCAATTTTTACTTTCTCAGCCAAGATGCGCTTTGGATTAACGAGTTCCGAGATAAAGGAAGAACAGAGTGGCGATATGTGGCGTGATCTCGCAGACAGTGGATTCGAGTGTGAGCTATGCAACGAGCAGTACGATGATAATGATGGGGAGAATGGCCATATTCCACGCCTTTTGACGTGTGGCCATACTTATTGTCAGGTACTATAAACATTTTTCATTCTTTCGTTTTTTATATATCTCGAACTAAATCTGATTCCAGAGTTGCTTAGATGGTTGGGCTACAGCTGGTACGACGAATATGGGCACTCAAACTGGAGAATTGGAATGTCCTACTTGTCGTCGTATTACACAACTAGATGGAGCTGAAGGCGCACGTACATTACCCAAGAATTACGAGCTCGTGCGTGCAAGACAAGAGATGGAGGCTCAGACTCAGACTCATTTACGAAAATTACAATTAATGTGGACACATCAAGTGCAAGAAAAGGAACAATTAGCACAAGAAGCTGAAGAACATGCACGTACAGCTCAACGAGAGAGTGTAGAAGCATCCCAGAAAGCACGATTTCTTGCCAAACAAGTGGAAATTAATGAACAAGAAAAACGACGTGCACAAGATTTAGCTGAAGAAGCTCGACATCGTGCTTTAGTGGCGTCACAACAAGCTGAAGCATTGCAAATGGAGACTGAAAGTTTAAAAGAGCAAGTACAAAAAGATGCATTACATCTTGCAAAGGTACAACTTGATGCTACAAGTGCTGCTGCTGTAGCAAAAGAACTTTATTCCAAAGCAGAATTACTACAACAACAAGTTGATTGTGTCCGAGCTCAATTGTCTCTTCATGCTGGACGACATGATCCTAGTAAATTAGTTGTTTTAGTTTGTGAACCAACTATTGTTGGATCGTGGATTTTACCATATACAAGATATGCAGTAATTAGTATTGCAAGCGATACGACAAAAGCAGAACAAGCTATTGATCCATATCAAGCTGCAAAAGTATGGACTGAATTACGACAAGTGGAAGAACCAAGTTCATCAGTGAAAGTATATCGTCGATACAGTGATTTTGTATGGCTACAATTGGAACTTGAGCGTCATTTTCCTTTTGAACTTGTGCCATGTGTACCAAAAAAACAATTACTTTGGAATAAAGAGAAAGAGTTTGTTGGAGAAAGAATGCGTTTATTACAAGCTTTTCTACGAAGTGTATTACGTCAACCGTTGCTTGCTACGACAGAAGAAGTGCGTGCATTTTTACTTTCAACTACAGAAGAACTCGAGAGTCTACGACGTGCAACTTCGAGTTATTACAATAGTATTGGAGATGACGATAATTTATCGATAGATGAGGAAGTGATATCTAATGATGTTGAAACTCGGACATTATCTCCTCCAGGAAGTAATCCACCGTCTTTATCAAAAGATTCGATTGGAAATCATAAACGAAGTACCAATTGGAGTGCATGGGGTGCCATGTCGGCCATTACGTCGAGTGCTGCTAAATTAGTCACCACAACTGGGACAGCTTTGACTGGTCTTGGTACGAAGACCGGTACACCAGGTCTACCAGAAGCTCCTGAAGTTGAATTATCACGTAGTTTCGCGGAGATTGAAGGAACAGATACATTTATGGAACGTCGACGCAAATACATTGATGTAGCAAGAGCTTACGAGTCTATTGGTCAAAAAGGAAGTCACGTATCTCGAGTTTGTCGATTGCAATCACACCATTTACATCGATTATGTGAATTATTTCAGGAGATGAATCAATTAGATCAAGATCATGTTAAACGTCGTCGTCAACGACTTTTAGTATCTCAAGATTTTATGATACAAGAAGATGGAGATGATGATATGGAAACGCGTGGATTTGACGAACGAACTTCGGATGTTTTTAGTGCCATTTCACTTCATACAAAGAATGATGCTGATTGTATGGAATATGCACTTTTAGAGATTGTACGGATGCAAACACTTGAGCTTGGAGGAATTGAAGCAGCATTTACTCGTGTACGACGTCGGGAAGAGGGACTAATGCCACCGAATTCAACGAGTGATGGTGGACCTTCACTTTCGACTTTGACATTAAAACGACAAGAAATGGCGACAATTCGACATGAGTTGCATGCAAAAGTTGCAACTTTGGACCCGTTACGAGCTCATTTTGTCTTGCAAGTGTTGTGCCAAAATACTAAAGAAATTGCGAAATTGGCCAAAACGAGACGCAAACTTTATCAGGCGTCACAACAGCAATTAATTGGGTTGCAATAATGAAGACCAAAATGTATTCTTAAGTAGGAGATTGTCGTTGAACTTTTTCTTGACTACTTCGATACTCGTTTGTGTTTCAGAGAAAGATAACTAGAATATGGGGGTGCTACATGCTTACAGTACGTCTGCATAGATGGTAAATCGACGCGTAGGAGACGATTGAAACATGTAATCGTCTTAGTTGAGCGTAATTTTTTATCATTTGCACTCTTCTCTTGAGTGATAATATCATGTTGAGATTGTAAAAAGTTGCCAAGTGCCACACTTGCAACAAGGTTCTGAAATGTAGCCATGTCATCTTCAATACGCTTGACAAGTGTTTCGTACACTTTTAATGGTACTCTTATGGTACCATTTGTTATATTAAAAGCATGTTTAAGATTTGTAGTCAATTTTTCGCCAAGTTGTACCATGTTTTCAGCAGTGGTGCAACTAGTTATTGTCCATGAATTGGCAAAACATTGCATCCACGCAATTTTCGTCTGTACCATAATCTGACAAAGTTCAGATTGTAATTTCCGAAGTCGCGTCTGTAGTTCAAACCACTTGAACGCATCTCCTTGATCGCCAGTTGAGACGTTCGCGTGTGTGGACAGTCCAGATGAACCAATTGAAGTGCAAAGTTGATGTGCTCTCGACATGATGTTTGTTTTTAATTCTACAAATCATTTTCAAATAGAAATTTTTATTTTTAGACTTTAACATCATATAAAATAAAAATACCAAAACGTCAAAACTAAAAAGTTGCACATACGAACGATGCCATAATTTTCATGTCCTTGCCACTTTCCATGTCTGCTATGAAATGTAAAAAAAAAAAAGTCCGACCTTATCACGGCTAGACGACAAGAAGCTGATGATGTTTTTGTTATTGGGTTCATCCCATGCGCACATCCTTCGAGAGAGAGTTCCACGAACGCTGCAGTAAAGACACCAAGAAAGCAGAAGGTCCACCCTTTGGAATGTACCATGGTACACGCGGGTGAAACACGCAATAAGATTTTTGCTCATTGCAATATCTGCACCTTTTAACGTAAGTGGCACAGGACACAATCTTTCGCTACTGATTGGCTAAATACTTAAGTCAATACGACAGTTGATTCGCTAAAAAGTCACGTGTTGTATTTTGGGGAAGGGAAGTTTATGGCCACACAGTGGATGCAAGACGCGTGTTATCATGCTACTCACGATGTAACTCCGTCTTCTAATGAGTCAAACTCGAATGTAATGTGTCGATTTATTCATAATCAGTGCGAGAAGGAGCTTTTTACGAGTGAATATCTAAGGTATGTTTTCTTTTCTTCGATTTGCGATTTAGAATGTATGTGCTCTGATTTTTATTTTTATAACATGTAGAAGCAACAAAGCAAGTGGCCATAAAAATTTGCGATGTTTTCCACATTGTTGCGGAGGTCATAATCCCAAAAGTTTTTGCGGTTCAGGTCTTGTGATTGAATGTTTTTTACCAAATTGTCAATTGGTACTTGGTCGATTTGAAGAAGTTGCAAAGCAACAATCGTCAAGTAAAAGTGAAAATTCAAGTAATCCAAGTCAAGAACATTGTAGTCTTTTAATTGGACATACATATGCTCGTCAAGATCTTTTTAATGATGTGAAAATGCCGGATCAACCATTTGGACGATGGTTTCGTGGTACTTCAGTACCAAATGGTACAACTTCGGGAATGTGTTTTTTACTAAATGGAAATCGTCAATCGTGGCATTATGGATGGCAATCTTCCCGATTAAATTGCAAAAATTTGCATGTATTTCGAGTGTATCTCTTTGAAACAAATGGCACAAATGTTCTTTGTATTGCAACTGTGGCATCTCCTCCATTTCGTATTTCATCAAGTCGTAAAGCTCGTAAAACATTTCGAACGCCACTTGCACCATCTACAAATGCAACACCACATTGTCATGATATGATTGCAACTGGTAAATCATCAACGACATGGTATCCAAATATATCACTTTCAACTACTTCATTGGTACCTTCCGATCCAACAAAACGAGAACGTAAACGTTTAACACGTTCAGCATCACTCAAAACTGAATATTATTCAACAAAAGCTTTTCCTATTTCGACAACTCAAGATTCAAGTTCAACAAGACAAACATGTTCATTTTCATCTTCTGAACGTGATTCTCGTTTTTCGATGCCATCACTTCCAAGTGTTGATACTTTTTTCACGACTTCATCACATTTTTCATCTCGTCGTTCATCTCTTGCTGCACTTTGTATGCCAATTTCAATGGAAAATGAGGAATCTCCAAGAATTTTAACACCAATTTCTGGTATGATGGATCTACGACTTGATTCTTCGAGACATTTATCATTTACACCAAATCCATTACATCAACATGCTTATACATCTGCTCGACCATTGCCATACATTCGATGTGATACATGGTCAAGTACATTACAACCATTAAAAACAATGGTACAAATGCCATCATCTGATACTTTTTTGAA